CGCGGCCTTCTCGGAGCGTTTCGGAACGCTCCGGAAGAGCGTTCCGGAACGCTCTGGAAGGGATTTGTCCTCGTCCTAGCCCCGTCCGACTTTGTCCTCGCACCCTCCTTGGAGCCCGGGCGTGCAGAGGCCTCCGAGATGGGGTCGGAGTAGATGGGGTCCGAGGATCACGCCTCATCGCCGATACTTCGATCGGCATACGTTACCGATGCATCGGCGATGCATCGGCGACATCGGCGATGCATCGGCGACTGCAGCGTGGAGAAAATCGGGCTCCACATCGATCCGCATCGCTGAAGCATCGACGATGCGGTACGATCCTCCGACTCCGTCTACCTGGACCCCTTCTGGGACCCCGGGCATGGAAGGGACGCGCCCGCAGCGAGGCCTTCGCCCGCGCAACGCGCGCGCACGTGTCGCTCAGACGCGCGGCACCTCGGGCGGTCGCTGGATGCCGCTCGGGCAGCGGGCCGGGGTTGGAGGCCCCAAGGGGGAGGGCCCGGGACCAGGAAGGAGGGGCGCCAGCTCAGGAGGGGAAATTCGCCGGCCCAACGGGCCAGAGCCGTGCTGAGATCTCTGGTCACTGGATATGCAAATTCTAGTGTGTGCGCGCGCGGGGCCGCCACGGGGGGTCCCCGGACGAAGAGCACTCCCCGGAACCCCCGGCAATATCCCAGCACGGTTCTGGCAGACTCGGATCAGAGATGACTTCGCTTTCAGGGGCGGTTTTGCCCTCCTAGGGCCCCTCCGGGGCTGTCTTGGGGCTTTCTTGGGCTCCTCTTGGGCCGTCTCGGGACGATCCTGGAGGCCTCTTTGGCCATCTTGGGGGTCCAGACGGTTGAGAGCGAAAGAATCTCAGAATCCGTAGGAAACCCATGGCAAATCTACGATTTCGGCCCCTTGCGGCCTTCTAGGGTGTCCCCATCGGAGCCGTCCTGGGGCGTTTTGGTGGCCCGTGACGCTGTCTTGGGAGCATCTTAGGCTGTCTGAGCGCGGTATTGGGCCATCTCGGGGCTGTCTCTGGTCGCCTCGGGGCCTCCTTGGGCCGTCTCGGAGCTCTTCTGGGGAGCTCCAGTGCCGTTTCGGAGCCCTCCAGGCGCCCTCCGGTGCCGTTTCGGGCTCTCGGGGGGGCTCGGGGAGCCATGGGCCTTCGCAAACCCGAAAAAATCCTTGCAGCCTTATTGAATGGATTCGCGCCCCGGAGCCATACAATCACCCCCCAAACAATTACATAAGATTCGCGCTCCCAGGGCCATAAACCTTCGTAAATTACACTTGCGTCCTCGAGGCCACAATCTCTCGCAAATTACACCGTATTCGCGTCCCCAAGGACCCTGGTAAATTAGACAATAATTGCCCCCCCCGAGGCCATAAACCTTTATAAATTACACAACAGTTGCGCCCCCGAAGCCATAAACCCTTGTAAATTACATAATAACTGCGTCCCCGAAGCCATCGCGCCACCGAAGCCATGATCCCGAGTAAATTAATATTGGCCCTCGCGTGATGTCCCGACATTGCTTCACGTCAGCGTCAAGACATCCCAACACAGCTCTGGCAAGTCCCATTCTAAGAGAGGGGGCCGGCGGCATGGGGGCGAAGCCCTTGCGGATAAGGAACGAGGCCCCTTTTGCCCATACGTTAAACTTCGACTTCCCATAGAAAACCTTAGGACAACCGAAGACAAACTGTAAAACAATTGAGGAGCACCGAGCCCCTCCTCAACAAAAAGGTTTCTTCGTCAGCGGCCCGACTGTACGTCGCCGATCAGTCGGCGATAGGCCCCCGACCGCGAATCCGCACCTTCCTGGGCAGGGCAGCCTACCGGGCCCCCATCGGCGATGAACGGGCGATTTAAACGCGGCCCAACACGTGCCGAGCCAACACGCGACGTGTTAGGACGGACGTTCTTACCACGGTACGTGTTGCGTTTCAATACGAGCGTATCGGGGCAGCTAGGACCCTGAGCCTATCCCCCTGTTTCGCTGCCCACGAAGGAAGCAGCACGGTCATCGTCGCGCGGAAAGCGAGGGGGCGACCTCGGGCAGGCTGGAGCCCAGACGGCACACAAGGGAGAGCCAGAGGGTCCGAGCGCTCGTCGATGCCGCCACTGCCTTCGAGGCGCCGGCGGGCTTGTCCGAGCTCGACGGCTTCCTTCCTGCCGTGGGTAGGGCGAGAACAGCTACGGACCCCGCTCCGTGCACGCGCGCCTGAAGCAGAGGGGGAGGGGCGAGGAGGGGAGGGGCCCAGTCTTTGCTGTCTTTGAAGACGGGGCCCAGTGTAACCAGCCTCGAACGTGTCCCTGCCCCAGAAGGTGGACGAGTCAGCAGGCGAGGCCAACCTTAGGGACGCGCCCTCGGGAGCTGAGGGACTCCTGAAGGTCGGCATCGAGATGAGGCGATGCCAATGGTAGGGGTAGCGACATGTCTTCAGCTAGAAGCAGCGCCGCGGCTCCCCCCAAGCCGGGGGGCGGCCTCGGAGGCCCGCCGGGGAAGCCCGCGGGGGCGCCGCCAAGACGCGCGCTCGAGAGGGGGCGGAGCGGGCTGGGGGCGGACCGCGCCCGCGCCACGGAGGCCAAATCCGCGGGCGCGCGCCGCGGGCGGGGCCAGGCAGTAGGGGGCAAAAAGAACACCCTCACGAACCAGTCTCGAACCTGTCCTTATCACTAAGGCCGACCTCCAAGGGGCGGTGACAATCCTAGGGGTGCGCCCTCAAAGACCGAGGGGATCCTTAAGATTGGCGTAAGCTAGCAACTCACAATAAGCCCCCCAACACGCGATACCGTTTGGCAAACGCGCCCAAGGGAGGGTTCTAACAGGACAGGGCCGTCTAGCAACGGCCAATTATGGAGGTCTGGGTGTTTTTTCCTACTTTGATGCAGTGCGGCCGCGGCTGCAAGCACCCCTCGCAAGAAGCCCATCTCTGAGGGTCCGCGCGAGAGGTGTAGCAGCTGGGGGGAAAACAGGAGCTTCCTGACTGCGGAAGTGTCTTAACGCCCGCGGAACGTCACCGCGCAGCGCGCGAAACGAAGAAACCTGATTCACCCTCGCAGGAAGGATCCGGTTTCTCGATGGGAGTCCCCACTCCACGAGCGGCAACCAGCAAGTCCAACCGAGGGGGCAACTGATGAAGAAAAGAGGCCTTGAGCAGCGCCGCGTTTTTTTTGTCTGGGCCACTATTTTGCAGTTCGCGCCCTTCGAGGTTCGACGCGCGATTACCTGCGCGCTCTCGCGGCCCCCTGGAGAGCGACCCTCGGGCCCTGGCTGTGACGCACACAGCCCGACAATCATCGCCCCCCCTGCGGGTGATTTGGATTGTCTTCGCCGGCCCTGCTCGGGCGGGGGGTAATGGGGGGTGACCTGAACATGGGGTGGGGAAAGAACCCCGCAGAGGCCCTTTTCTTCACACCTGATTTAGTCGGCGGCGAGCCCGAGGGGGAAGTGAGAAGGAGCGGGCCTTCACAGAAGGCTCGGAAGTCCCCCAGCCTTCTGGAAAGTTGTCTGAGCCTTCCCGAAGACTCTGAAGACCTCTGAGGAGGCAAAAGGCCTTCTGGGAAGGCCCCGCCGCCTTCTGAGAAGGCCTTCTCCTTCTCATTTCCCCCCTCGCTTGCCGCCGAGTTGGGAATGTGATTGCTGCGCCACCGAAATCGCCCAGAACATAATGCGGGACATCAAGAACAACAAACACAGTTTCCTACATTTGAACTGCGCGAATGCATCGAGCGAAATAGGCACGGCGAAGTGTATGTAGGAGAGCAAGATGTCATCTCCACTCGCCGCCGATTTAGCGATTTGGGTCACCCCCTTTACCACCCGCCCGACCTGCACTGTTTTCCACTGTGCGCGCTCCGATGTTCCACCGCCTGCCCCACTACGTTATGTGGGGCTATGCTGGCCACCTGCGCGGGCGCCCCCCCAGGGGGGAGGGGGGGCAAGTCGCGCTGGTCCAAGCAGCCCGCGAGGCAAAGGAGTCGCTCTGCGAATCAGCCAGGGACGGACATCATCATCATCATCATCATCATCATCATCATCATCATCATCATCATCATCATCATCATCATCATCACCATCACCATCACCATCACCATCACCATCATCATCATCATCATCAGCAGCAGCATCCTCAGCAGCATCATCAGCATCATCATCGTTACCATCATCAGCATCATCATCATCATCATCATCATTAACTGCATCGCTCACCACTACCAATATCACTCCCACCCCCATCAGCAACAACAGCATCATCATACCATCATCCTCACCATCACCATCACCATCATCATCATCATCATCACCATCATCATAACATGATCATCATCACCATCATTCTCAACAGCACGATCATTACGATGCCCATGCTCATCATCACCATTATCATCATAATGATCGTCACCATCATCATCATCATCAACAGCATTAGCAGCATCATCATGATCATCATCATGATCATCACCAGCACCACCAACATCATCACCATCACCATCCATCACCAGCACCACCATCATCATCATCATCATCATCATCATCATCATCATCATCAGCATCATCATAGGCGCGCCCAAGTCAGGAGTACGCGTGTAGACCATCCTGGGGAACAAGCCAATGCAACGCTAGTCATGAAAACGAATCCACCAAAATATCGGCCCATGCAAGAAAATGATACGTACATGGACACCGGCCCGCTAAATCACTCCTACATGTGTTTACATCGACATGCACCTATATACAGATTCCCGCCAACCTCCCCGCTTCCTCATCCTCCTTTGCCTGCTCATCATCTTCACTCTCCTCCATACTCTTGTCGTCATCGTCTGTCTCCTATGTTTCCTCTTGTCCTCACCTGCTACTCTTGAGTCTTCCAAGCTAGCTCCTGCTAGGGGCAGCTGTGGCATCAAGTCTGGGAGGAGGTCAACGAATTTGGAGGAGCCCCAACGAAATCCTACGCACGACTCATCACTGCAAGGCAGCCGACAAGAAAAAAAAAAAAACACCCGCGTCCTCCCGACTCTTGGCTAACTCGTCTTCGAGCTCGGCGACGCGGCCCCTCGCAGTGTCGGACTCGCCCCGGAACTTCGCCACTTGCTCCTGGCAAACACAAGACGACGTGACAGAGGAACACAGCATAACACAAGTCTTTCAATGCTGATGCTGGTCGAAGATCATGCCTGTATCAACGTCGTGGATGTCGTTCTACTTCGGGTCATCCTGGCCTTATTCCTGATCCAAAGCATACAAAGCATCCTTGGTAGATCCCCATCACTCTACTCCTCACTGCATCTCCGCCTCCTCATCCGTTCATTCTCGTCCCCAATGTCTATTGCTTACCTGTCTCCCCCGTTGGGGTCTGCGTCAAACAAAAAGAACGAATCCTCCAATGCAGCAGCCTTAGCCCGTGCCTCCTCGACATCTGCTGAGAGTCGCGAGTGCAGCGATTCCAGCTTCGCACTTTCGGCCTCGTCAGCCTTGGCGGCGGAACTGCAACACTTGTGACGGTAGAACCGTACGGCACGAAATGCACACAACCTGAACGTTAGTTAGTGGGGTACGTACCGATGTAGGTAGACAAGCAAACACATCTACATGCATACGTGCATATGTGTACACACACATATAATGCATCGCCGGTGGACCCTAAAAGCAGTGCGATGACGGAGTAAAGGGAGTCGGTGACGGTGATGCCCCGTTTTTGGGGTGGCGCCCGGGAGGCCCTAACTCAGGGCTCCTGCGAATCCCAAGAACTTGATGACCGCCTGAGCCCAACTCGCATAAATTGTCGGGAGGTTGAGGAGGGTGCACTTCCGTATTGGCGCACGCAAGCGCCTCCTCAATGGACCGTTATAGCGGTGCGATGGCGGAAAAAAGGGGTGGAGGTGACGGTGGTAGCTCTTCTTCGGGTGGCGGTTCAGGGGGGCCTGGCTCAGGGCCCCTGCCAATCCCAGGAACGCGATGCCCCCCCATGTGAAGGCTTTGAAACGCCAAGGAGGGGGGAGGGGCAGACCCAGAGGTGACATAAGGATACCGGGGCCCCCTCTGGACGCTGCGAGCGCTAGGGGCCGTCCACTACGATGGTTTGCGGGCTTGCCACAAGACCGCATGTGTTAACATACTTATGAGCAAATACATGTACTTGGCGTCTGGTCGCGTCGACATGTAGAAAGTGTGTAGCAAGTAGTTAGCGAGTACTTAGCAAAGTAAGTTAAGCGGGAGTTAAGTGGCTGCAAGGACTTAGCAAGTACTTAACATAAGCGGTCCGACACATGTGTTGTGACATGTTGTGCTGCATATCGCTTATCATGAGACAGCTCTGTTATACCGAAAATGCATGTAAGCTGGAAGGGCACACGTGTGTTGCTGGACCATGTTGAACCACATGCCTTCATATATCTACCTGCGCACTCGTGTTTTGTCGCGCCTTTCTTGCAGGTCCGAGAACTGGTTTTCTGATGTGGCATCTCACGAGGGCGATCTATATCTATATCTGTATCTAGATCTATACATGTATGTGTATATATATGTATACATACCAAGACATCTGGTTCAACATGATCCAATTGTTGTTTTGTTTGATCTGCACGACTTCAATGCGAAAAGAACTGCTACGGTTCCTGCCCAAGTACGCGTTCTCGGCCCACGGGCCCCCATCCTTGTCAATTTCCTATAGTGGGTTTGCTGGGGGGATCCCGGCGGGGGTTCCTGTGAAGCCTCCTATCGGGATCCCTGCGGGGTTTCTCAGGTTTTCGATGGAGTTCCCTTGTGGTTTTATATGGGGCTTCCGATTGTTATCCCATATCTGGCGTTCCATGTTGGGCCCGAAAGTTCCGTATGGGCGCCCCTTTGGGGTAGCCTACGCGTTGTCCTTTCGATGCGTGTCCTGATTTGGCTTCCTGTCCCATATGTTGGGTCTCCTATGTGGCTTCCGATTGTGTATCCTATGGAATTGGCCACCGTTAAGGGTTAACTTTAGTTTCCAGGCTAACACGGCGACGCGTCGTTTGTGGGCATTGCAGGGATTGCCTTGCCTCTGGTTCTAGCTTCGCGCCTCCTATCTTGTCATATCTTCGCGCATCTGGCTTAGTACGGCGTTAGCTTCGCGCCTCGATGTTGTTCTTTGCGCATGTGGAGGATCGGGAAAAGGAATGATGGCGTTTGATGCCGGATGTTCCCTGGGTGCGCCACTTGTTCTAGCCGCGTCCAGGGGCGGAGCCGCGGCGACCAGCCCTGGCGTATGATACATAAATATATACATATATATATATACATATATATATATGTAGATATACACATATGTATACATACATATATATATATATATATACATACGCACATAGATAGATAGCCGCAGAACCGCGGCGACCAGCCCTGAAGTGTGACATCTGTATGTAGATAATTGTATATTAATGTGTATATATACGCTTTTAGATGAATTGAGTGAATGTACTTGCGTAGCGTACGTGTATTGGTGGTATTACTCAAACAAGATATCTCCACGCTCCGCGTATCGCCACCAGCGTCTCGCTTCGCTTGCCTTTCTTTTCCTGCTATCTAGTCGCGGCCCGACTAGTGTTCGGACGGCTTTCGACCCGCCTCGCGAGCCTGTTGACCAAAAAGTATCCCCACCAGCCCATTCAGAAACCCTGTCCATGAGAGCTGGTGCGAAATGGAAAAAACGCGAAACATACAGTGAACCAGAGCAGGCAACTAGAGGTGGTGCTGCTGGCGGCGCTGCTAGTAGTGCTGGTGCTGCTGGAGCTGCTGCTGCTGGCGCCGCTGCTGTTGGTGCCCCCTCGGAGTCCTCATGGGGTATGCTTGGAACTCTGTTGCCAGGTCTTGGGTCTTGGGGCCCTCTTTGAAGCCTCTGGGGGCCCCAGGCCTCTTGGGGCCATCTTGGGGAGCATCAACCAAAAGGAGGGAGGGCCCCAAGTCGGCCCAGAGGGGCCTCCAAGACGGCTTCCGACTGCGTCAGACGGGCCAGGAATGCCCCAAGACTGCCAACAAGACCCCCCGATATGCCCCCAAAGGCACTCAAGAGGCCCAAGGAAGCTCCCAACATGCCTCCAAAAAGCTCCCAGGAGGCTCCCAGGATGCCCCAAGACTGCTCCCAGACGCTCCCAAGATGCACCCTTTTCCTCCTCTTCCTCTTCCTCCTCTTCCTCCTCCTCCTCCCGATCTTCCCCGCAATCCTCCCCCCAAATGCTCCACGAAAGGTTTCTATAACGGTTGGGGGGGGGGCACATGGCCCGATTGTTTGGCAGAGCTCTTGCAGCAACGCTCGGACACATGGGCGATTCCAAAAGGCAAGGGGCGGCGGTGATTTACCGTAGGCGTCTTCTATATATAGATATGTACACGTGTATGTATGTATGTATGTATGTATGTATGTATGTATGTATGTCTGTATGTCTGTATGTCTGTATGTATGTCTGTATGTCTGTATGTCTGTATGTCTGTATGTCTGTATGTCTGTATGTATGTATGTATGTCTGTATGTTTGTATGTATGCATGTATGTATGTATTTAGGTATGTATGTACGTATATGTGTGTATGTGTGGTTGTATGTATGTATGTATGTATGTATGCGTGTATGTATGTGTGTATGTATGTGAGTACATATGTATATGTATGTATGTATGTATGTATGTATGGGTATACTTCTATGTTTACATTTATGTTTATATAATTTATACCATGCTATACTATAGTATACCATGGTGTAACATATTATCATCAACCATACCTACATGCGTATGACTACTAAACAAGAAACGAGGCGGAGGGGGCGCGCTAGCTGGCTGGCGGGCGGGGTGATGCGGAGGGGGCGTGCGGGATGTGGGGAAGCGGCGCCGTGCCCAAATAAAAGGGTCGGGGCTGAAGGGGCGGTGCCGTGCCGAAATACAGGTGTCGGGGCGGAGGGGGCGCGTTTGCTGGTGGGTGGGGGGATGCGGAGGGGGCGCGTGCGGAGTGGCGCGTTGGCTGGTCGGTGGGGGATGCGGCAATAAAAGGGGTCGGGGCGGACTCTGGCTGGCTGGCGGGGGGATGTGGAGGGGGCGCGTGGGATGGGGGGCGGTGCCGTGCCGAAATACAAGAGTCGGGGCGGAGGGGGCGCGCTGGCTGGTGGATGGGGCGATGGAGGTTGCGCTCGCGATGGGGGGGCGGCGCCGTGCCGAAATTAATGGGTCGCGGCGGAGGGGGCGCGCTGGCTGGTGGGTGGGGCGATGCAGAGGGGACGCTCGGGATGGCAGGGGTAATGGCATGCCGAAAGGTCGGGGCGGAGGGGGCGAACTTGATGGTGGGTGGGGGGATGCGGAGAGGGCGTGCGGGATGGGGAGTGCGGTGCCATGCCGAAGTAACAACTTCGGGGCGGAGGGGGCGCACTGGCTGGTGGGCGGGGTGATGCGGAGGTGGCGCGCGGGATTAAAGGGGGGGCGGTGCCGTGCCGAAATAAAGGGGTCGGAGCGGAGGGGGCGCGCTGGCTGGTGGGCGGAGGGATGCGGATGAAGCGCGCGGGGTGGGAGGGGGGCGGTACCGTGCCGAAATAAAAAAGGGTCGGGGCGGAGGGGGCGCGCTGGCTGGTTAGTGGGGTGATACCAATGGGGGCGCTCGGGATGGGGGGGCGCTGCCGCGCCGAAAGAAACAAGTCGGGACGGAGGGGGCGCGCTGTCCAGTGGGTGGGCTGACGCGGAGAGGGCGCGCGGGATGGGGTGGAGGGGTGGAGGGGGCGCGCTGGTTGGCGTGTGAAGTGATGCGGAGGGGGCGTGCGGGATAGGAGGAGGAAAGGGGTGGTGGTGGTGCCGTGTCGAAATAAAAAATGGGGGCGGAGGGGGCGCGCTGGCTGGTGGGCGGGGTGGGTGGGGTGATGCGGAGGTGGCGCGCGGGATGGGGGGGCGGCGCATGTCAACCTCAAGGTCGGCGGCACCGGCCGTAAGGCCTTCGCAATGAAGTGGTCGGAGCTCGAGACAACCCTGTGCAACAACAACAAAAAGATGTAGTACATTATATGCCACGAGCGCACAAAAGTGGAAACCCAACAACAAGGATGTGGCACACCTTGCCCAGTCAGTAGATAAAGCTCTCTGTTATATATATATATACACCTATACGACCACCCTTCGGGTGATAAGGAGGTTCGGGGGGGGAGGAACCAACGTCTCACTCGATCGGTCTCACTATCGATCTCACTATCGATCTCAGTATCGGTCTCGCTCGATCGATCTCCCTCGATCGATCTCACAATCGATCTCACAATCGATCTCACTCGATCTCACTCGATCTCACTCGATCTATCTCACACTCGATCTCACTCGATCATCATCATCATCATCATCATCATCATCATCATCATCATCATCATCATCATCATCATCATCATCATCATCATCATCATCATCATCATCATCATCATCATCATCATCATCATCATCATCATCATCAGCATCAACATCAGCATCATCATCATCAGCAGCA